ATTGTCTCTTTGTGAAGCCAAGCTTACGACTAAGATCATTGTTTTAATATTACTAATGGCTGATAAACTGGGGAGGAAGCAAGGATTTTCACCCTCTTGCAAGCAAGGAAGTTTCCCACCTTTCAATCCTCTCATACAGAGTGCCCATAAAAGCAAATCTTGGCTCCTGAGGAATAGCCAGTGAATGCAGCAGTAAGTTAAAAACTGGGGCAATATATTCATTTTGTGACTAAAGAAAGAGCAAAATGCTGTACTGCCAAAATTACAAGCGAGTAAACTGCACTGACCTAAATTTATCCTCAACTCTATCACTGGAAGGCACCCAGCTTGCTACAGACCCGTAACTCCCTAGGGACAGTTTGGGATGCTGGGGGATCACTGCACACAGATACACTACAGTAAATTGCAAAATTATTCGCCTTTTCAATTAGAAATGTCTCTAGCAAAAGCATGATTTGACACGAAATAAAAATCTGCTGGATATTTATTATTTGCTATCCTTACAGAGTAGCATAAGGCAGCCAAACGAGTGACCCGTTAGTGGATGTGTAACGGTGTCTACATCAGCTTCTAGTTAAAACATAGCTTCAACAGTGAGGAGCAAAAATGACCAGTTTAAAAGTGGGTCAGTTTAGAAGTAAGCAATATGTGTAAATCATTGTAATTATTTCTTCCAGCCAGCAACACCACTGATTTGTTGTCTCCTCCAACCAACTAAAATATTTAACGTGCCTTTTAAACCCTCATGCAGGTTGGCAAGGAATGAAGACTAACCTCTACCCAAATCAGACTTTGAAAATTGCCAAACTCCCCATTTTTTTTACCTTAAAGATAAATACCTTGCATAAAAGTGAAAAAATCTTCAATGTTTACACGAGGTTGAGAGGTTGTAAAGAAAACATATTTGGAAATATGTCTGTATTATTTTCTGAAAATTTCACAGTTCTGCTTTGGCATTTGAGCATTCTGCACGGATTATTTCATCCACACTTTTTCTTATTGTTGCCATTTTCCTATTTACTGACACGAAGTGATAGTGCACAATTTAAAATGCTTGAAAGATTAATTTTAATAAAATGCATCAATTCACAAATACATCTCACTCCCTGAAACACGGCATCCTCTCCTAAGAAAAACAAAACATCCTCCGCATTGTAACAGCCTAAAGCTTTATATTAGAGCCAGCACACACGGAGTCTGTTTAGACACGTGGATTCTCTCTTGATACAAAAGATGGTGCTGAGTTACCAAAAGATTGTTTGGGTTGTGGGAAACATGTTTCCTATGTGTTTTTAGATTCTTGCCAAACTGCTAAGAATGATGAATATTTTCTTCTCCTCTGTCAAGAGAAGTGCATATTTTAAACTATCACATCATTGCTTTAAATAGATGGCACCATTCCACAACGATGCTCCCGGTGTCCCACTCAACAGCCTTGAGCTGTTGTTTAAAGACACTCGATTCATTAAAAGATGTATTGGCAGCAATATAAAGAATTACATATTGTATTTCTCCCCCAAATATTCAACCATAAACCCTCTTGTAGCCCTGCTATGGCACCATACACATCTCAGAGGAGGATCTCACATACTTTTTAAAGAGATCCCATCACTTGCACAACTTTCTCTAGCCTAAGAAGGCAAACAAAACAGCTCTGCAAAGAGATGCCACCATGTCTGTCTACTATATCTAAATCAACCACCGGATATTCATACTGAAACATTGTGATAACTGCCCAGAGACACCAGTATCCAGATGTTCTCAGTTCATACTAAGGAACTGAGATCTGAGCGAGTCATCAGCAAAACCAGACAACAGTTGCCAGTGCTGCTATGAAGGAGTAAAGGGTGGTTTCCACCACCAGTACACCAGCTCTGGCTACACCATCAGAAACACAAGCAAAATGAAAGGCCAGGCTGTGATAATTCAAATGTTACAGCTCTGCGATGAGGGGCAAAGTTATTTCCCATGGGATTCAGCAGAGTGCCCTTGCCTGCCCTCTCTTGTAATTTTACATGTCCTCACTGAGGAGCAGCAGGAGGCTAAAGGGACCAGGAGAAGTACAAATCTTATCTAGGTAGGGCTTTCAGTTACATAAATTTTTCCACTTTAAGTTTCTTGTTCAATACAAAGAGGAAAAAGGAGGGGGAAAAAAGGGTTGCTTTTCTGATTCTTTATCACTATCACATAATAGCATAGGTGAACTCTGCATATACCTTGGTGTCTTGATAGCTTTATATAATGCTGGGAAAGTCTCCAAGGCTGAAATAAAAATCTTACCTTGGCTCTCAAGCTTGGCAGGCTTTTGCTGCTAATACAACACAGATCAGAGGGGTGTTTTTTGGCTCTTCTACCTGACATAAGCTTGTTCTCCGACATACATTTCTATTAGCTTTGAAAGCACTATTTTCTTTCTTATAACTTCATGAAGTTGGGAAGGTGCCTCAGGTAACAGAACGGCATCTTATTGTACAAACTTTCATACTGTAAATAGTCCTTTTTGATACCATCACTGTCAGTAGCTAAGGACAAGAGAAGAAAGCTAATGAGTCTCCTTTGCTTCTAGTGGCCGTTATGGTTAAACAGTCACAAAAGGACCTGCCCACACCACTAAAGGTCCTACTGTTCTCTGTTTCTCCCGGGCTGGCTTACAAAAGGCAATTCATTGCATGCAGGCCCTATGGTCATGATCAGGTCATGGTGTCTTGAGTTTGGCACAACCATCCACCAATGCCTCTGAACCACAGACTAAGGCAACTTCTGCTTCAAGCTCACGGTCTCTACTGTTGTCTGGATTCAATTTCCTTTTGCATAGCTCTTTTCCACAACAGGATTTCACTTTTTTTCTCCTTTCCTCTCGCTTCTTGACTGCATCTCATCTTCGAGATGCAACAGCATGATTAATTCAGAGAGCAGCATCTGCCGTCTTCCTGGGTAGGATGTTCCCAGCTGCCGAGACCCTGGAAACCCCAGCACACCACTCTGGGCTGCATACCTCAGCCTAAACTCCTCTGAAAACTTGAACATCTACTTTGGCACCTCGGGGAGTACCAAGATATTCTTAAAAGCCTAAGGACTTACGCATGCAGAAGTAGAGCTTGCAAACGTCAACTACACCGATTTTATCAGTTCATTCTGATGGGGGAGAGAGAGAAAATTAGGTGGACTCCAGAGAAGCCAGTTCCACAGCCAAGGCTGTAGCAAGAGACACCAAGTGAGATAGGGGCCATCACACCCTGACAAGAAAAGCCACCTTCATGGCAGTCCCTTGTGTGCCAGTTGGAGGTAGGGAAGGAGGTCATCCCTTCATGGAGCTATTTTTCCCCTGGCCCTTCCATAGGACAGAGCCCAGTCCAACAGGACATGTTTTCCAGGAGATAGAAGCCTGTCTCACAGCATAACTGGTCCAGTTGAAACCATATTTGCTCCTATGAAGCAGAAATGTGCCCATTTCTCAGCAAATCTGAGTAATGATCCAGGAGGAGCCTGGACCTGCTCTCCCAGCACCAACCATACTCACCCTGCAGACCCTCAGAGTTCTGCTCACAAACTCTTCGCAAGGGAAATGCTCAAAAGCAAGAGTCAGTGATTTAAAAAAAAAAACCAAAAAAGATGACTGTGAATATCAACTATAAATAGAGCATCAAGTCCTCCTGTAAACTCGCAATAGAGCCAGAGTAAAAATAGCAACACGAGAAGACGAAACCGTGCAGCACTGGTGTTGATAGGAACAGCGATGTCAGGAGTATGAATACAGGCAAGAATAAGACTTCGCTACAGTAATTATCTACCTAACACAGAACAATGTGGAATAAATATAGGAACGTTATTGCCAAAAAGGCTCCTACTCCCACAGCAATGTTAGAAGAAATTAAAAAAAGAAGACAGGAAGATAAACTATAAAAAGAAAAAAGGATATTTTTCTTAGCTATAGTGATATTTTTCTATTTTACCTTCTGTTATACGACATATTCATTTTCTTAAGTGAGAAATCTGACCAGAATATATCTCAGCCTGTGCATCTTCTTGGTCAGGAGTTCTAGTAGCACCAGTGGGATTATTTGCTCACATAATGCAGCGAGATTCAACAAGAAATTCAGACACTGAACAAACAATGGAAAGATCAGGAAAAAAAAAACCCATCACCTCCAGTTCCTGCTTATGCCAGCTGATCACTGTATTAGTTCAATTCTCACTTAATTCACACTGGCTCTATGATAGACCTACCTGGACTCCTACACTCAAAAGTAGGTCACAAATGGGCAAATGCACACAAGTCTGGGCAAACCAGCTATTTCCCAGTGCCATGTATTTGTTCTGCAACACAAGCAGTAACCAGAAAGCTCACAGATGCTTTCAGCATCAGTGGGCAGCACTCTCAGACCAAGGTTGAGCTCCTGGGACATGCATGACTGGATGCAGTCACCTTATTCGTGGTAGGGACTCATTCCTAAAAGCTTTTTAGCAAGCAGGTTTAAACTGCATGGCATCTTCCTAGTATCCATAAGCTCAACACAACATGCCTGCTACTAAACACTGCAGTCTCGGTCGACATGTAATATAACCAAAACCCACACAAAGTAACAAAAAAAAGCATAGATATAAAATCTGGTTCAACTACTCATTCAAAAAAATCATGTTGTTTTGGGATTTTACCAATTATTTGGTGATTGCTTATACATTAGGAAATCTCAGAGATGAGTGGTTATTCTAAACTAATATCTAAAAAACCCCTAGTATCTAAACTAATCAAGTTGAGTATTGGAAAAGAATAAGAAAGTTTAACACAAGGTGAGTACCAAGGCATATAATCTGAGGGAATCCTGTTGATACTTTTGCCAAATGTAGATAATGACTGCAGAAAAGCCTTAAACTTATATTTCATATCATATATAATCGCTCTGCCTTTTACTGTTCCTCCATTCAATTACTTGATGTCACATGGGATTTCCATTCTTTCTTTTTTTCCTCGAAGAACCAAAACACAACATAATGTGAATTCCTTGCTCCGAAATCTCAGAATCTTATGGAGAAAAGCAAGTATGTACTTACGACCAGAGGGAGTTTCTTCCTTGTGTGATGACTCCAGTGAATTTTGTGAGCCTTCGAGCATCTACTTCAATCCACTGATATGGGTCATTTCTTCCTGCACACCAAGCACCATCATAAAAATCATTTTCGTTAACACCTGCCTGAAAAGAAGGCAAAACTGTCTTCATCAATCAGAGCCAAGAAAGTGGAGGTCTTTCATGGGAAAAAGGAAACAACACATGAAGCCATCATTCATTCTACTTCCTCCTTTGGCTCCAGCCATTCTCAGCAGCTACATGGAGAGATCAAAATATTTTCTTACTCAAAGCAGGAAGGAAAATTCTGCAAAGACCTTTTAAAAACTAAGAACCATTACATATAAATTTATGTCAGAAAGCAGAAAGTTAGAAAGTTAAGTTAGAAAGCTTCAGTTCAGTCCTTCTATCTGTGCCTGTGGCCTGACGGAGCCTTTATCCAGAACAAATTATCCACATGGTCTTGAGTTATGAAAGTCCTAAAAATCCAGCTGAAATCCATGTAAATAATGGAGCAATCTCCTTTCCCCCAGAAGCAGCAAAGGAGATTGTGGGGCATATGGAAAAAATACTACTATTTCCCACCAATTTTCAGTCCCAGAATTAACAACTTTCAATACTAGGGTGTCAAAGGTTAAAAATTCAGGAATTCCCAACTGTACTCCAACTTGTGTACCAATCCATATCCCAATTTATGCTGGCAAAACCACCACAAACAGCCTTTTCAACAGTTTCAAAGAAATAGCTGTGAGGTATTTTGAATAAGCTGCATCACAAATACATCTGAAATAGCATTTAAAGAAACATAGCAACGGAGGTCTTCAGATATTTATCTTATTACTAAAGTCCAGGAAATGTTTGGCACCAAGCTGGCTACTGCCATAGAGAGCACAGAAGCTTTTCCATATGGTCCTCTGAGGCTACATGTATTTTTACAGTATTTCATGTGTTTAATGAGGGTTTATCGTTGCCATCCATGCAATCCCAAGGATAGCCTTAAATATTCCCCAATGATCAGTTTGGAGAACTTTGTAAGTTTATATTAGAGACAGACTTTAAAGCCCTTGTATACAACTACTGTCTGATGGTATATTTTCAGTTGGTGTGTATTAGGAGATATCACAGTCAGAGCTGGGTTACAATGGCAGAGATTGACAGGTCTGGTTACCTCCATTTTTACAGACATTTTCTACCCAAATGGGCACTGGGTGGGTCTAACTCAAAGTGAGGATGCAGTTGTTAACGCCCTTTCCCAATGCTAATTTGGTGGTATCTGAAGGAAGTGATGCCAAACAGAGACCCAGATTCAATTCCTAAAACTTCTCATTTTCTCAGGTATTCAAATCTGAGATAGGGCAGCTTAAAAATTACCTGTTTTCCTGCATCTACCCAATTTATATTAAGCCACTTACTTCTATGTATTAACACTGATGTTTTAAACTAAAGTTGGTATAAAAGTCAAAAGTACAAGATACAGAGAAAAACTCTATTAAACAGTGGGAAATAAATGCTTCAAGGAGAACTGAACAATGGGGAAAAATGAGAATATAAATATCACTGACCTGAGTTATAACCTTTTTCAAGAAAAAGGTTTCAATGCATTTTAAAGTAAGATGGAATTTGAAATACCCTTAGGGTTTAAAAACCAAGGCTTGCCAGGAAGCGTTAAGATCTGCAGAGCACCTTGAACCAGCATCGTGCTAATCCCCTTCGCATGGGTGGAATTCCACCAATTTCTGCAGCCCAAGTACCCATATCTCTCATTGCCTCAGCTGGGACCCTTGGTCCTTACTCAGACTGAGGATATTTCCCAATGGTGTGATGCTCATCAGGGTGTAAAACTGTCCTCCACATTACAGTGAGCAGAGGGAAGAGGTGAGAAAAAAGAGCTTGTTTGCAAAAAAATGCTGAACTACATACTCAAATCTCCATGGTTTCAACTGGACTTATATAAATATGTGATAAGTTGTATATCAAATACGGAGAATTTAGAGGACACGTTCACAGTTACACAGCATAAATACTATGGCTTTAAAAAGGGGCAAAGAGGGCATAAAAGAACAAAAGAATCTGTGCCGCTGCTACTTCTTCCTGCTCTCTTGTTTCCTAACATCAGCTTCTCTGAAGCTAAATGATTATTTTTACCAGACAAAAAAGAAGCAGGTGTTTGTGTATAACTGACACGGAGGACTACTTGAAAGAGGAGTTTAATCACTAAAAAGTTATTATTGCAAACATTTTCAAAGGAAAAGAATTCCAATAAATTTATGTTGAAACTTCTCTTTTCAAGCTTCAAGTTAAGTGTTTTTTCTTAAGTCACTTGAAGCTTTGAATTTGCCCTATAACCACATCAAAATATTGTTTCTACAAAAAACACCTTATAGACTCAAACAAATATTTAGTAGTTAAAATTTCTATTATAATTCTTCGGGAAATTTTTGTTCCTGAAAGATGAGAAAAATTATCATCACGTATTGCATCAAAGATTATAGACCAAGATACTTTTTCTCAGTACAATGTTTACTGAAATTCAAAAATTGTATGTTGAATTAATGGAGATAATGAATTCAAGGTAAGGCACACATAACTTTAAGCTATACATTTTAAAAATTTACATTATTTTCATAAGAGAGGGAAGGAGCTAATGGAAACTGGAAGTAAGGACTAGGTCTTAAGCAAACTCTTCTTTCCTTCACTGAATTTTCAAGTCTACTCAAAGTCTACCCCATCTTCTATTTGACTTGCAGCCAAATGCAAAAACATTTCTCAATGTGCAGTGTCTTATGAAAAAATACCTTTTTGATATAGAAAAAGGGACTTTTTCCTGTTGCTTCTGAATAAGTTATCGATAAATGTGAATGCTGAAAATTGTAATTCAAATAAAACAAATCAACTGCCCATTATGCACCCAGAAGCTGAGATGAAGGGAAATCAAAAGGTTACAATTCCTTTATAAATTATATGACTCCTGATTTTAATTCATTTTCCTCTTCTGAGCTAGACACAAGACAGAATAAACACTTGCTCACATTATGACTGTTCCAAAAGCCTTATTTTATAATGAGCAGAAAGATATTACTGCCTAAATATATTCAAATGAAGAAAGACATTTCAGTCTTCTGCCACAAGCCAGCTAGAGCAGCAGTAAAAATATACCCAATATCAAACCACTTCAGCTTAAATTCTTCTCCTTTCCCACTGGGGTGATCACAAACATTATTTTAGCATAGGAAGTTTGGAAGGAAAAACGTAAAAAGGATTACTCATCACAGGTATTTATAGCAACCGCTGCCAGTAGGAAAAAGGAGAAGAATTAAAGCGCAAGGGCTGAAGGCAGAACTTCAATAATTTTGTCCTTTGCTCATGTTTTGATAACGGAGCTTTATAAAAGGAACTCGTGAAACAAAGAACTGAGAAGACAAAAAGCAATACTTCCTGCTTATGTGTGTACACATGACTGCATCGCTTAGTTATTTTTTATTTTAAATAACCATTGTTATTTGGATTTCTCCAACCAGGAAAATGAAGAAAGGGAAAAAACCACCATAATTTCACTAATTATTTCAGGTTTTTAACCACTCCTAATTATTTTCCAAGTGACAAATACTAATGACTTTTACCCCTGAAGGCAAAGTGCCTCACTCAATATTATTTTATGCCATGATTTTTCCTGAGGAAGTTAAATCACTGTTGGGTGTGCCTCTATTGCAGTTGTAGGTCAGATCTCCAATACGTGATGCTCTACAACCCCAGTAGCTCCTGCTCGCAGGTCCCAGCTCAATCACCACATCCCTACAGGAAAAACTGGTCCCACATATTGCAAGGCGACAAGAGAAGCAGAACCCAGTCCTGCCAAACCTGTCCTTCTTCAAAATAAAGCATGCACCAACTGATTAATTTTATACCCTTCAAATAATCTAAACGGAACAAAATATCCCTCAGAAGCCTTTGAAAAAGTTCATTATTCAGTGAATTCTGCATGAACTGAGGCAGTGCCAGTTACCTGGGGTGAGCCCTAAGCTGCTCAGCTGACTTTGCATCAGATGATGAAGTTGAGCAGAGAGTGGATTTTGTTTTATTTGGGGGAGGAAGCAATGGCCACACGAATATTGTGAAGGCACCGTTTGCATCAGATGATGAAGTTGAGCAGAGAGTAGATTTTGTTTTATTTGGGAGAGGAAAGCAATGGCCACACGAATATTGTGATGGCACCGTGGTGATACCCAGGCCACGCCACAGGGACAGCACCCCATAAAACTTCTCATCGCCATGCATTTAGCACTGTGCTTTGGTGAAAGCCGAGCAGCACATCAGCCTCTCAGAGTTTCTCTGATGTGGGCCAAGTGTTTTTCTTGATAAACAGAATTAACCAGCATGAAAACACAGCTGCTTAAATTCCAGTGACTTTTGCCTTTCCCCAGCATGCCACAACCTGCCCTTTTGAGCAGCAAACAGAAATCACCAGGGACCTCATTACCCACCGGACACATCACTCCCCTGTAGTACCTATCCTTGGTTATTGAGCACATATCCTTTAAATACTACTGAAATTCCAAAGTCTTAATGCAAAGTGAAATTAACCACCGAGACCCAAGTGACAGGGAAGAGATCTGCTAATTCTAAATGGCTTTGAAAACAATTTTAAAGTGCTATTAATTTTGAACTAATCCGAAGGGAAGCAGTACCTAAACTGAAAATAAATGCAGACCTATACTTTTATCACTGTCAATCATAGTGGTAACCCTGAGTGGTCAAGGGGTTTAGGGAATTACTGTATCTATAGCATACAGATAAGCTTTCAGTTAAAGATTGATTCAAGGATTACTGGAAATCGTTATTAGATGTAAAGATGTAGCAGAGAAAAAGGGCTAAATTTAAACAAGAAAAGTAAGCCAGAGAAGTCACTGCAGAGAAGAGACTGACCCTTGGCTTCTGCTGCAGGCTCTGGACTATATTTAAGGGAAACATCATTCATAGGTGAGACACGTACACTTCTCTATTTATTTTAATGCAGTATTACTGGTGATGACAAGACACTGGGCTAGATGAACTCATAGCCTAAACCATTCTTGTGTTTAAATAAATCGGATTTTAACATCAGCATGAAAAATGCAGAACCACAACCAACAGAAAAGTCAGAGGTTGTATCACAGTCCTGGATCTTATGGTACCGTATAAACAAAATTGTAATAAAATAATTTAACATTCCTATAGGACTCACCTGCAAATACAATTTTGTGTTCATAAGGGGTTTTTTTTGACAAGCAGAGGATATTAAGTAAAAGCAGTAAACTGCCTCACTCAGATCTCAAAAGGATTTAAATACAAAAGCTGCAGATGAGTCTTTGCATCACACCCAGCCCTCCCTGCCTGCTCACTAATGGGAAAGGAAGAGCCCATTTCCACCCCCCTGTGGGGTCCTGCCCCCCACCTCCAGCTGGCTTTGCTGCAGAGCAAAGTGGTTTACTGAGCTTTTGAGTCAAAATTAATTCATTTAAACAAATAATGAAATGGGAAAATAAATCAGGATATCACCTGAAATTGCCCTGCTGATTAGAGCTCATCGTACCTCATCCCAGCCTTAGTTCATTAACTAACAAATCCCTTCAGCTGGAGAGAATACAAAAATCTAATGGAAGGTCTTATAATGAAAGATAGCTAATAAATGAAGTAAAATTTAGAGATTTTTCACTGTTGGCTTGTTGCTAGTATCCTATTTATGACTTTGAGTCTTGAACTTTGTACTTCATTATGTAAAAGTTACATTTTTACACCGGAAAAAAACTAATTCAGAAAACAGCACGAACACAGTGGAAAACAGAAACACAAGAAACGGGAAAATACCATTTGGTTCCGCAAAGCGCCTAAGCACATCTGTAGCATTAAATAAAAGAAGCTGAACCAGATTGTATGCCAGTGACTTCTGAATTGAAGCCTTTTTTTGGTAACATAAGCGTTGTCTCTGAGAAGCTGCCTTAGGCCACTTAAAACCACACTTGCAATTAATTAACTATTGCCATTAACCACATGCAAATAACAAAAAAGCAATGTGCTGTGGGAGCTTCCTTCCAGGCTGAGGGTGAAGGGAGCTGGGATGATTCCTTGCTGCTGGGGAGGGAGCATTTTGGGGCTGCCTTCACCTTTGCTTGCTCACGGAGGTCTGGTTGGATTTGCATCCTCAGCACATGAAGTTTGAAGGTTTTTTTCTTTCCCCAGCAAAGCCTCACGAATGTAAAGGTTATCCATCAACCTTACTCACTCCTCTAATTCCAGCGTTTCCCCTTCATTTGAATTACATGAGCTGACAAAGTAGTCAGAACCAATAAGCATCCATTGGTCCTCTTTATACAACAGCGCAACCTTAAGCCATTCTCCCACTTAGGGGAAAAATTGATGTTACCTGAATATTGAGCCTTCCTCTGTGGGCCCCGAGGCCATACCGCTTTGCTGTAGAGGCATGGAGCTGGAAGTCAGTAATTTTTAATGTCTCCAGACCAAGTGGAGGGCAATCTACAAAACAAAAGATTGATTAAAATTTAATTTATTGTTGTTTTTTTTTTAAAAAAAAGCAAACACAAAACAAACAAGCATTCAAAGTCTCTTGGCGTTGCTTGTGCCAAGCTGGCTGGAGTCCTCAGCTGGTATAAATGAGCACAGCATCGCTGAAGTCAATGAGAGATGGCAGCTCTCATAAAAATCAATGAAGCAACTCTGATTTACACCAGCTGAGGATCTGGCTTCTTGAGGGTTTCAGATAGTCATTACTGCTTGCTATATTCTTCATTTTTTTCACTGATATGCACAGTATTTCCTGTCAAGTGCTTTACAGTACAAAAAGCCAGCAAAACGCCCTATTATTTTTCTCTCTTTTTTGGCATTTTCATCTCTTGTTTTGATTTTTTTTTCTCCCCCTGTACTCCCTTCCAAGCTACTGTATGAAGTTATGTTTCTAATTAAAATCTGTTCTGGAAACTTCAATCCCAGTGCCTCGCGTTGCACAATAACATCTGGTGCAGAGATCTGGGGGATCGGACAGCCCAGCTCCGCAGAGGGAATGACTAAGCACAAAAAGAGCAATTTTGGATAAAGGGACTATGTCTCTAAGTTTCAAAACCTTGAAGAAAGAAAAGCAGCTGCCATTACTTCAGTAGTTAGCTAGAAATTCACCAAACTACAGCCCAGAGCTCTGCCTTTAGAAAATAAGATACTTGAAAGAGTCTATTTCATGATTATCAGAAAAATGTTCTGCTCTAAAATGACCCCAGCCACCAGAGTGTTTCAGTCCCTGGCAATCTTTAGGATGTTTTTCCTTAAAATACCATGGTGAGGTGGGGAAGAGCCACTCTTGGTGTTGCACTGGAGGTGAACAAAAGCACAGAGAGGCACTTTGTGAGCATCTAAATTGTTCAACAGAGCACAATTTAGAGACCTTGAAGTCAGCACCAGCTGGAACTGGGAATTCTGCGTAGGGCAGAGGTGGAAACCAGGGTCATATTTATTATTTAGCTCAGGTTCTTGTCAGGTTAAGCTAGGCTTTATACTACCATGGCCCTGTGACTTCTGATCTTGGGTAGAGGCCAGATTTTCCCTGCAGTCAAGTGTGGGACTTTGCTGTAACTTTTATATCAGGCTGTGACAGAGACGGGCCAAGCACCATCCATGCAGCCCAAACCACACTTCCAAACCACAGGCCACCCCTCCAGTCCAACCATTGATCCAGTCCTAAGGCTGTCACTAGACCATGTCCCTAAGCACAGCATCTCTTTGTCTTTTAAACACCTCCAGGGATGGGGACTCAACCATCTGGACAGCCCATTCCAGTGCTTGACAACCCTTTCAGTAAAGAAATTCCTCCTCGTATCCAACCTAAACCTCCCCTGGTGTAACTTGAGGCCATTACCCCTTATCCTATCACTTGTTACTTGTGAGAAGGGATCAACTCCCACCTTCTTACACCCTCCTTTCCAGTAGTTGTAGAGAGCAATAAGGTCTCCACTCAGCCTCCTTTTCTCCTCCTTAGCTCATAACAACCTAAAATCCCACAATTGCAATCAATTCCCATTAGTTTTTCTTTGTTCATCATTAGGAAGGTTCTCACACAAATCCAGTGCCAAATGTCCCCATCAGAGGCAGTAAAGCCAAATGCTGAACATTAATGTATTTTCTAAAGTACCGACAGTGATCTTAGTCTTACACAAGAGACAAAATGCAGACAGATCCTCATTTCGAAAAGCTTTCAATCTAATTATCCAAAAGAGAGGCGAGACAGGATGTATAAGGAAAGGCAGAGGAAGGAGCAGCTCAGAGGGTTTTTGTTTCGTTGGCTGATTGTTTTAATTACATTTCCTTACAGAGCATTTCATCTTCCATCATACTCTGACTGAAAGAAGTCTCAGGCTCTGACAGATCTGTACTGGAGTAAACTGCAGAGCTAGGAGCTGCCTGCCTTTCTTTAACATGTTCAGTCCTCCAGACAGATTTGGAAATCAATCTCACAGTGCAGTCCTGCAAACTCTTTCACACTTCGGTATAATTTGCTCTGTGAACAGTTTCACCATCCCCAGGCACTCAAAAGCCACCCAGAAGTACCCATGTCAGGTTTAGGCTGAACGTAAAAGCAAGCTGTTTTCACATGGTTCATAAAATATGATTTAATTCAATGTTTATACCATACCTAGCAAGGCTATGGGGCAATCTACAAGTACAGTTTGGATTTACTAATAAAACAGAACTGGAAAAGCACTGGTTTTGAGGCTGACAGCTACCCATCAGACCTGAAGTTACCTGGAGTGACGTTTACCTGCCTGAGTATGTACAAGAAGTGGATTGGGTTTTATTCAAAGTGAAGTATCACTAATTGCAATATTCTTGCCTGTGGATTTCAGGGAGGTTTTCTCGAGCCGAAAGATGGGTATTTACAGGCTGGAAAAAAATTGCCTGTGTATATTTGTGTGTATTAACTGTTTTGAGAGAAACTGAAGCCTAATAATAGACTCAGAAATGTTCATATGGATCTCAGTTAAACATGCCCAACTGCTCTTTATTTTTCAAGGATGAATTATTTGCATTGTTTGTGAAGGCATCAGATTAACAGGCCAATATTAGGAAACACTCAATTTAATGGGAGTTTTCAACAAAGGCAAGATGAGGCTCAAAGAGCAGGCAGGAGCTATCTACGATATGCCATATAGGTATCTTTGACATAAACAGTGCAATACATTGTTAACAATATGCTGTCCTTTGTCAATGTTCTCAAGCCTTACAAAATTTCAAGTGAAATCATTAGGATCTTTACCATCCATTCAATAGTATCCAGGATTATTTGTTTTTACTGTTACTTATATAAATTAGTAGCCAAGGTCCTAACTGGCTTTCTCCGAAAGTGAACCAACTTAAGCTGCCACTTCATGAACTTACCAAATCGCGTAAAGACTTGGTAAGAAAAATCAAGTCTTTTTCTTCAACACTTGTCTGAAAATTAATGAAAAGCATTCCTTTCACTGTTGGCCCCTCTTTCTCCAGTGAGCGTCCCAAACCAGGAACGGAGCAGTGGGATTCTCCATAACAAAACATTGACCTTTAGATGTTTCCATCTGTGCAGCAATGTGCAGGGATTATTTTCTTGGAGTCATCAAGCCTATTGTTTGTAGTAGCTTTGATGTATGGAATCTGTGCTCTTTTCCACAAGAGAAGTCCTTTGATTTGGCTTTTAAATTAAAGCATTTTTTTCTATTTATAGGGATAATATTTGAGTATTAACACTTTAGGGATATTAATATTTTTCTACATGCATATGAATTCCAGCATCAATAAAGGGATAAAGAGAACGTATTAGACTAAAATATCTATCTGTAATGTACAGAGATGATGAGGGCAATCTTTTCAATGTGGCTCAATCTGATTAACTCCAGGTTACTCAAAAACAACACAGTCCACTTAAAGTTGCCATTTAATTTTAGATAAATTATTCCCTTGGAGCGTGTGTGTGTGTCCCCTTCTTAAAGCTACTAGAGATAACCAGGACAACCCATTTTTGAAAAACATGCAGGAAAAGAAACTGATTATGGCATTCAGAAAGACTCTACTTTTATAAGACTCTACTTATTTTATAAGTATTACTTATATATATATTAATTTTTAAGAAATCTCGCATAGAATAATGAAAATTGCCACACAATCAGTAAGACAATCTTAATGGTTTTGTATTCTTGATGCTAGTTTGAAGAAAGCTACAGAAATTAGATAGCATGAATAATCAAAATAGTTCATACCTTATAGATTCAACTGGAAATGACCTAGTTATCCGGTCACTTATTTAACTGGTTGAAAAAGTAATCATTATAGAATACAGGAGATTCAACTGTAGCTTTGAACGACATTTAAATCCACATTCTATGTATGTAGCAACTTAGCAACAGAATGCAGCTGGAGTATTTATGTTACAGAATGACCGAAAATCAAGCATTAGGCTTAGAGGCGCAGGGAAGAAGCTGACTTACGGACATTTCTCTCTTTCTGGCCCATATCCAACCATGATTTTGTGTGTGATTTGCAATCATGAATAGGTATTCAGCTTAGGAACAAGTCATTAATAAGATGGCTGGATCAAATTAATTAATTCCAAGACCTAAAAAAGACAGGGCTTGGACTCAGACTTAATTATATTTGTATTTTAAACAGTATTCTAGTGAGTTTTCCATTTTGAAATGGATTTGCTATTAGCTATGTTAAATGGCTCTATCGCAGTGCCCGTTATTTCCAATTATGCTTCTAGCAGCTTGATAGACGACTGTATCCCAGCTCAGGGATCAACACTGTTAGACATCACCTGTCCTGTGAAGCCAGAAGGGGGAAACACTTGAGAATTACTTCAGTCACAACCTCATCTCTTGAAATTGGAATTTACCAGTTATACTTTGAAGATTATCTATCCTGACATCCCTACGTGAAGAAGCTGCTGAGCTCCCTTCTCAAGCCAGCATCAACTCAACCTGAAATCTCCATGCAAGGACACCAGCCCAGCTCTGAAAGCAGTTTCAGCCTCACGATGGCTGTGCCCTACTGATACAGCATTTTCCACTGAAACTCTGGTCAAAAAACCCCATCTTCTTGGTTATCTCTGCTGTAACAATAGCTGTTCTTCATGAAAAAAACAGACATTCTTAGAAATATATTAATTCCATAAGTGGAAGATATATGTATGAGCAGGGCAAGGAAAACACTTTTGTTCATCTTTATTGCCTAAATTATTCATTTACTTTATTTTCGTCTGGTCTAAATAAAGATTGTCAGATAAGCACAGATTGTCTTTATAGCTTTTGTATCTAATAAGGATGCATTTAGGAAATCATTCTGTGCTGTTTTTCTGGAGGCATAGCAGACAAATTATTGCTTTATTTAAAGAATATTTTTCATCAGTTTAGGAATATGTTCAGTTTTTCAAATGGAAAGAAAAAAAAGAAGTATAATGTTTCCTCTTCACTTATATTTTCAAGAGCCATACCTATAAC